CAAATAACTCCTATTTTTTCTCGTAAACCATTATCTCATTAATAATTCAACTTTAAAAAAATTAGTAGTCATTAACCAATATTAAAATTATTGATGTACGGAATCCGGATCTCATGACTGAAAAGTCCGATTAAATGCAACAAGGATCCTTCATTTTCAATGAAGCGATAGGAATTGCATGTTTCGATAAAAATTGTTATGAGACTCTCACCAATATTTTTCTTAAATTTTCTTTTTATCATATTTACTAGATATCAGCAAGAATTACCTTAAAAATCCGAATTCACCAAAAAAAAATTTTATATCGAATTAATTAATTTCCCTCCGACATGATATTTAAATATTTTATAACTGTTTTACAAAAATGTTATCATGTTTCTTCCATAAATGCGTGTTTATCATAAGATATATAAATTATACTAAATCTTCATTTTACAATTATCCACAATTTTTGCTATTAGAATTTCGCGATTCGTGGCTAAGAAATTTCTCATAACGCTCCACCTACAGGATTCCCTTTGATCACCATTCTGGAGAAATTTTTTACTTAGCTTTCATCGATTTCTCTTTGGATAAATTTTTTCAACGTATCGCGAATCACTATGTATCCTTGTTGCAGATCATTCATGACAAATGCAAACGACAGTTCGAATTGTACGACACGCGATGTAACTGACGATTCGACGACTACGATCGACGCGGCGGATGCGGGACCGACAGTGGGATCGTTGCGAATACGACCGGCTTCTCGTATCACGTTTAACGCGCGTCTAACGTCGACGAGGCTTTCATAACCACAATACTGAGAATCCACAATAATGTGTCACAACAAGTGCATAAATCACATGGCTGGTAGACGCGACGCGAGGCAATCCACTTTCTGGGGCGCTATTGCCCGCATCCCTCGTGCAAAAATTGTGGTTAATTCGGCTTATCGGCTTCCTAGACGTTAGTCTTACGAGACAAGCTCGACAGACCGGTAAACGTGGCGAGAATTGGGCACGTATTGCAACGATCTTACTACCCGGACCGTATCCCGAATTTATACAAATTTCGAGTAAGATCCGGAAATGTTTCTGAAGAAACGCACCGTTTATTGCACGTGCCATGAGGAAGCTGTAACAAAAATATTAAATGTCACACAAAAAATTAAAGAAAATTTAAAGGAATAAGGTATTAAGAGAGCCGAGATGGAAGAGCTATTATAGAAGGGGGGTTAATAAAGAAACGAAGGATAAATTAAAAATAATCCTTTAAAATTGGTCGAAATGCAAGTCCGCTAATATTTATCATTTATATATATTTCAACGTTATTCTTCCTCCTTTTTCCGAACGCGTCAGAACTCTACCCCTGATATTTCTTCTACATTCTTTCCCTTTAATTTTTTTCTACAATAAAGAAAATTTACGAAAGGAATAAGATATTGAGAGAGCCGAAATGGAAGGGCTATTATAGAAGGCAGGTTAATAAAGGAACGAAGGATAAATTAAAAATAGTCCTTTAAAGTTGGTCGAAATGCAAGTCCGCTAATATTTATCATTTATATATATTTCAACGTTATTCTTCCACCTTTTCCCTAACGCGACTCTACCATTAATATTTCTTCTATATTCTTTCCCTTTAATTTTTTTTTTCTACAATAAAGTCCACGCATCACATATCTCAATCTCTCTTCACAAAAATCTTAACGTTTCGAGAATCGTTTTTATCTCAGTTGCTGCATCCCCATGGCACATGCAAGAAACGATGCGAATTGCGCGAAGTGGTGATTTGCTACGTTCGACGCGACGAATGCGGGACCGACAGTGAGATCGTTGCGAATACGACCGGCTTCTCGTATCACGTTTAACGCGCGTCTAACGTCGACGAGGCTTTCATAACCACAATACTGAGAATCCACAATAATGTGTCACAACAAGTGCATAAATCACATGGCTGGTAGACGCGACGCGAGGCAATCCACTTTCTGGGGCGCTATTGCCCGCATCCCTCGTGCAAAAATTGTGGTTAATTCGGCTTATCGGCTTCCTAGACGTTAGTCTTACGAGACAAGCTCGACAGACCGGTAAACGTGGCGAGAATTGGGCACGTATTGCAACGATCTTACTACCCGGACCGTATCCCGAATTTATACAAATTTCGAGTAAGACCCGCAGATGTTTCTGAAGAAACGCATCGTTTATTACACGTGGACGTTTATTACACATAAGGAAGCTGTAACAAAAATGTTAAATGACACAAAAAAAATTAAAGAAAATTTACGAAAAAAATAACATATTAAGGGAGCCGAGATGGAAGAGCTATTATAGAAGGGAGGTTAATGAAGGAACGAAGGATAAATTGAAAATAGTCCCTTAAAATCGATCGAAATGCAAGTCTGCTAATATTTATCGTTTATCTATATATATATATATATTTCAACGTTATTCTTCCTCCTCTTTCCCAACGCGTCAGAACTCTACCCCTGATATTTCTTCTACATTCTTTCCCTTTAATTTT